AATCAGGAATAAGTACTGATCATAAAGAAAGTATTGTACTCTGTCCCTTTATTAATTTAAATATTACTCTTTGGCCTTGTTTTTCATGTGAGTTTGCCCCACTAGAAGCAAACAGTTTTCAGATGAGATTCCCTGCCGGATAATGACCTAAAAGCGAAACTTCTCCCTTTTTTCCATCCACCAGGGTTAAAAACAACTTTTCGCCTATTCTTCCTTTCTGCGGAAACTGAAGGAAGGAAGGAAAAAAAAAAAAAAAGGCAAAAAAGCAGAGGAATAGTCAATAAGCACAGAGAAGAAAATAAGCCTCAAGCTTCCCAAAGCACACACTTGTGAACAAAGGCCAAGGAACAAGGATTTTAAAAGCTCAGTTTATCTACACAGGATGGCTAAAAAGGCCCCACACTTAGAGAACCAGCGCTGAATACAAGGCACTATTGGGAACTGTGTTCAAACACTTTATTCTAATCCTGTTATCTCCTCAACCTATTATTTTGGGGATAAACACTAATGTTTTAGATCTATCTTTCCTTTAACCAACCTTCAACAACATGTCTGGTCTTAACCTTAACCAAACCCTCTCTTTTCCCCATTCCCTGCTGACAACTCTTCCCTTTGACTGACACTTCACTGGGTTATGCCTCAAGGTCATTTCATCCTTTCCTGTCCCAAGTCACAACCTATAACAGCCCATGAAAAAGCCAAACTTAAATCCAAAACATAAAACCTGCAAAAAACAAATTAACAAATTGTTTGTGCAGGGTTTGCCATATTTGATTTTCAGTATTATTTCCATAGATCAAATATTATGTCTTTAATGCTGTCCTGTAGAACATCAAAAAGCATCACCAGTGGGGTAACATGCCTGGGCACATACTGCTAACAGAAATTTAGATATTATACTGTTTAATAAAACTTCTTTAGGCTCATTTAGAGTAGGACCTTCCATAATTATGTTATGGGTTTTATCTAATAAAAAAACAACAAACACTTTCAAGTCCATATAGTCACCTTCCATTCAGTGTGATCAAAATCTGAAACTTATTAATGATTTTGTAAGAGTTGTCCTGATGTCTGAGCTCATGCTGGACCATCCTGGCCATGCTTGTGCTCTGATGCAAAGCTGACAGTCAAGAAACAAAACAAGCAAGGGCAACTTTGTAAATGAACTTCTGTTGTTTCATTTGAAGTGGAAGAGAAGCATGACCCTTCCAAAATCCTTCTCATTTTCATCTCTAAATAAGAATCTCATTGGAGCTTGTGCTTGAATTGAAGGCCAGCAGTTACTCAGCCTCCCCAGAACAAAAAAATTATAAAAATACAGTCTCTATGTGAAAAGAGCCTGGGCAGAGTATTCAGTGCAAGGGATATTGACTTCCCTCTCTTAGAAGGTTGCAGCCACTTTCTGTTGTTACACTGATTTCTAGAAATTTAAATAAGTAAATGCTTCTGCAGCACAGGTGATAGTCTCTACTCTTACTTGTACAATCAATTTTGTTACCTTTATTTGTGGCCTTAATAAACACAGCACGACACCAAACAGTGCAGTACAACTGGGCTGCTCCAATCACCTCCTGGTTGCATACAAATGTGTAGGAGGTTGGTACTTCCCTCTTGCTCAGAAAAGGCAAAGACAACTAATAAATCAACCAAAAAATTCACATTAAAAAAAGCATCATCACTCATCCCTCAACTATTTTAAAACCCCTCTATTTTCCCTGATGTCATTCATTAGGTACTCTTAGGAAAATCAAGGCAGCAGAGCTGTTTTCTCAGTTCAGCACATTTTTGAAAATCTTCACCGTGAAAGTTTTGTGTAATTATCCTCAAAATGGTGTTTTGAAGGAGTTCCACGACACATGGAAATTGGAATAATGAGTTGCATTTTCTTGTCTATCACTTCAGTTGGCATTTGGTGCAACTGTACATCTTTAGCTATTAAGTCTCTCCCTCCCTCCTGGTCCACACTTAGATCAAGATCATTACAATTTCTCCTACCCATTGCCCTAAACAAAACATAAATGCCATCACCATCAATCTCAACAAGGCCTGTATGACAGCTAACATTAACAGAATGACCTTCTTCAGTTAGATTTTCATTAGTAAAATAGGATGGAAAGCAGAAAGTGCCCCAGCTTTGCCAATTTGAACAAATTATCCACGTCATCCTTGTCGGAGTCAGTCGATACCTGAACTGGGCAGGAAACTCAGCAATCTGGGACACAGGACAAGACAATATTAAGCACAAAGCCAACTTTTTTTTTTTTTTTTTTTTTTCCATCTTAACTCCTGAATTGAGCCAAACCCAGCCTTTTTTACAGGTAAGGCAGAGAAGCTTGTAAGTTTGGCTGCTGCAGAGAGTGTGACTGCAAAGTGACAACACATCAACTCCAGAGCAAATCTGAGCACGTCACATTTCCATCTGCAAATGCACAGCCCCAGGCCAGGCCTGCAGTGACTTCTAGTGATGTCAGAGGATTTGACCATGCTAGGAAAGGAGAAGAAATCCAGAAGGTGAGCAGCACAACACGTGCCAACTTCCCAAACAGGCCAGGATACCATCCATGTCACTTCAAGCTTTCCATACAGCTGCTGCAAAGCCTTTAAGGTCTGTGTTCTACCAAAGGAGAGGTGCCAAACCAAGCAAACACCTCCATGTCAGGACCTTGTGTTCAGGCTTATTTGTTTTTAACTAAATCTTCTCAAAGGGGCACTAAATGTTCACTAATTCACAACCTTCATAGTAAAGGATGTGCCACCCAAAACACAGCCAGCCTGCCAGGCTTCCTCTCTTGGTAGAGAAAGGATATTGCTAGAATTGTTGCTCCCATAAAGTGGACAAGGAACACTAATATTGTACTGCTTAATCCCATCCTAGGATGGTTTTGGGTGTTCTGGATGCCTTCTTCCCACTTCTGATTTGCTGTTTGATCAGAAAGAGTAACACAAAACAGAATGTTCTTATAAGGGTTTCACTTCTTAAATCCACATGTTGTAAACCACTAATTTGTGGGGAGGAAAGGAGGGTTTGTAGCAAAAAGGAGAGAAGACTTTTAATCCCTGTTCTTTGTTCACACCCTGGTAAGGACCTTGCAAAAATTACAAAAATGCAAGAAAATGAAGTTGTGTGGTGGAAAAAAACCTGTGAGGCAGAAAAGTGCTTTGCTCATCCCCTTGCCAGGCACAGGGCTTGATTTCCCTTAATGGCTGATGATTAATGTATGACAACAGGATGAATAGCCAATATATCTGAAACATGAGCAACATCATCCGTCAGTTTTTCACAGGAAGTCCAATATGGCTTAGAAAGAAAGATAGATTACTTCTGCCCCTGGATCAGCACTGATCCATTCCAATATGAACTAGACAAGGAGGGTGCTGCAAGTGTTTGCACACAGTCTTTTGTTAGAAATGAGGAGGGAAATGGAATAATTTTTTAGGTAATTTTTTAAAATACAAAAATGTATTAAAAATTACTATTAAAATTAAATAAATAAAATTAAATTCTTTCTAAATTATTGAATAAATTATAATAATTAGAAATATTATTTCAAAATTTCCTCCTTCACCACAGGGCACTCAAACTGATATCAGTGTCAATTTGTTAATATCCTCTGCAGATCCACTATCCAAGAACAACATAAATTTTGTTCGCCACTTAGAGATGAAAATGCTATCACAGCCTGGTCTTAAGAACAATTTTCTTACTGCAGGACTGGTCGGAACAAAAAATGGTTCTTTACCTATTCCAACAAAAAGCAGCCTCACACTGTGGCAAGAGTTTGTCAGAAAAAGCACAAGCATAAAACCAACAGTTCTTAAACACCTGCCTGTGGAACAAAACAAAATATTTCAGGATGTATCCAAATTCCCAGTGTCAGCTCAGAGCTGTGCTGAAGCACCTGCAGCAGGGCTGTGTGGCTGAGCACTGTGGCAGCAGCTCCCTGGCCACAGAGAGCAGGCACAGATACAGACCTTCCCAGGCACTAGCCTTCTGACAACATGGAGTCAGATTCATCATTCTTCCCTGCCACGGGGGAGCCTGCAAAAACAACAAAAACAATTCTTATCTCCACTTGCTGCACCTGTTGCCAGGTAAATGTGGAATGGAGACTTGTTTACCAAAGGGTGGTGGTGTTTTGGTTGGTTGACCAATGAAGTCAAAGCTGTATCGGACAGGCTGGAAGGGGTTACAGGTTTACTTAAGAATATAGTAATAATATAGTGTTGGGGAAGATGAAACAGGAAAGCCTTGTAAATATGATTGCCTGGCAAAAGATTTTGAGAATATGGAAACTATAAGCAAGATTGAAATGAAAGCAAGCTTTGAGATACCTTAGTTACTGAACAACTGGAAAACAATGGTATGGCCAGTTAATGGTAATCCTCTTATGAAGAAACAATACCCTCTGCTTGCAGAGAGGTCCAAGGGTCAGAGCAGACCCTACTAGCTTGGCAGAAGGGGTCCAAAGAGCAGTTTTTAGGGTTTAAAATGTAACACAGTATGGTAATGTAATGATTCTTATAGGCTGTATGTAAATGCTATAGGATTTGTATCTTGTATTAGATAGGTTAGTGAGAATTAGAATATTCAACACAGAAAAAGATTTATGGTATTGTAACAGGAACTTCTCTCTCTTTTACTCTTTCGTCCTCTCTCTTTTACTTTTTTGCTCTCTCTCATCCTCTTTACCATGCTCTTGCCTTCTTTCTCTTTACCAGTCTCTTTACCTCTCTCTCTCTTTGGGGCCTGCTCTGAGCTGAGGCTGGCAGCTCCCAGCAGGGCCCCTGCACACACATCCTTTGCAATAATCTGCAAGTTCCAAGACCTGGCTCCAGAGATCTCTCGTCTCCATCCATCCCGACTGTCCTACCCCCATTGCTCCTGCAATACAGTATAGAGGGATAAAGCAATGTTCAGCCTCCTGCATCATGGAATCAGTGCTAATTACACCCGTGTGGACAGAGCACCCCTTGGGGAGTGGAAGCAGCAGAGCCCTCACCTGCACACTTGGTCCTGGTGGTCAGGGGGGGCCCGGGGGGCCCCGTGCCCCCTTCCCCGGGGCGCGTCAGCAGCACCCGGATCTCGTACTCCACGTCGGGGTCCAGGTGCCACAGCTTGTAGTTGGGGGAGTCCACGATGTGGGTCTCTGCCCAGTTGCCCGTGGTGGTCCTGTACTCCACCTCCTTGAGGATGATGGGCCCGTCCCCGATGATGGAGTTGGCGTTGGGTTTGATCCACAGGTACGTGGCTCCCACGGCCAGCAGCTCCGGGGGGGCGATCGGCGTGGGAGGCTCTGGGGACAGAAACAAATCACAACCTGTCAGAAAATGTTGTCCAAATTTCCATCCCAAAACCTTTTGTAACAAAGGCACAATTTCCCCCTCTCATTTTCCAAATATTATATAAGAATTTAATCTGTTACTGGAAAGAATTGGGCTTGGGTTTTTTGTGCTTAAATTCCAGCCCTCTTGCACTGGGGGTTGTGTTACCAACTGAGAAACACCTGTGAAAATACAAAGCAGCTTTCTGTTTTAAAAATGCCTTCATAAACCTCATAAACATTTATAAACCTCATCATCAGGTTTATACTTGCCCCCTCTTTTAAGCATGTGAACAACAGCACTCAACATCTTGGAGAGTGAGGGAAAGAAATCCTAAATAAAGACAACTGAGTGCCCTTAGCACAAACCATGAATCAAAGGGTTCCAGCACAGCCCTTCCTCTGTCCTGTGGCCCGGCACAGCAGAATATCCCAGCCACAGATCGAGGTGCTGTGGTTCAGCCAAATTCTAACACTTAACATGACACAATTAGCAAGAGGAAAACTCAAATCACTTGTTCATTTTCTGATCTTAACCCCCAAAAACAGAGAAAAATAACAGCATATATTTTCTAATCAAAGCACTGGCTGAGACAATATTAGCAAATTTAAACAGCAGAGATCTTCCCATGCCCAGCAGCCAGGATACTGCTGGAACTGGCTCTGAGTGGGGCTCTTGGTGGCTCAGAATAAAGAAAACTCCAAGGCAACAGTGAATCAACACATCCTATGGTGTTTGATTGCAAAGTTTGCACAACCTCATGGGCAAAGGTACTCAAGAAAGTCTGCATGACACCTGAGGAGTGCCTGGATGTTTGAGAAGCAGTATAAGGAGGCAGGAACCAGCTACTGAGTACCACCTCTGTGAGAAAAAGCAAAGCGAGCTGATAAAAGACATCTCAGCAGCTCCCTTTGATGGAAGCTACAAAAAAAAAAAAAAAAAAAAGAAGAAGAAAAGAAAAAAAGAAAAAATCTGCAGAGTTCTGGCTGCCTGCCTGATTTTTATTATTCTTTTTCTCCCTCTCTGTCAGTGTAAATAACACTTGCATGCTGGAAACCACATGAATAGCATACACCTTGTGGCTTTGAAAACCTGAGCTGAACTCTTCAAGATTATCAGCAATTTCCTGAATCTTTCCTAGCCTTCCCTCTGCCACACTCTAATGTGGTTTGCCCTCAGCCCAGAGGACACAAACTCTATTCTCTTGTGAAAATCAGGTGACTAAAAAGAATATTTTTATCAAGAGGGGCTTAAAACACTGGCACAGGGTGCCCAGAGCAGCTGTGGCTGCTCCATCCCTGACAGTGTGGACATTGGGCTTGGAGCAACCTGGGACACTGGAAGGTGTCCCTGCCCATGGCAGGGGTGGAACAGCTGAGCTTTAAGGTCCCTTCCAACCCAAACCATCCTGTGATCTCTGTCTCTGAAAAAGAAACACATAAATGTTACAACGTAAGAAATGTGGAGTTCCGTGGGAGTCATTCTAAACCCCTCCCTCCTGAAGGTGATTCCTCAAAGAACTGGAAGAATCCTGGACCCAAGGAAAAGAGGAAGGAAAGACTTTGAGTACCACACGATGGGAGGAAGATTGGATTTTCCCCTCAGGATAATTCTTGCAGGTTAAGATCTGCTCGGTGAAGAAAAATAAACTGTTGTACAAAAGGATCAACTGAAATTATGCTTGATTTCATTTCCTTTACCTGTTCACAAGAAATCATTCTATCTCCTTGAGACTGACTGCAGGAGTTGCGTGTTTTACCTCTGGAGAAAAACAATCTGAATTGTAATTGCAGCAGGTATCCAACATGAACAAAAATCAGTGATGCCAGATGTGTTTTCTGTGGAATATCTGTTTCTGCTTTAATTCTGCACTATTCCATAACTCCTGCCAGAATCTTTTTCTGATATGAAATGCCAGGCTGATTATGTTTTGACTTACAAAGTTATTTCTCCAGGAAAATTGTTTTCCAGAAACATGTGTGGATACATTTTCATTAAAAATCAAATTAATATAGATCACAAGCAGTTTATTTCTTATTTCTTGGTGCAAGGCAATTAAAAGAGAGATTTGGTTATTTTTATTCCCAGTGCAAAAACTACATCTTACAAGTCACATCATAGCTGAACACAAGACAAATGAAATATTAAACTCCATTCTCCTGGGCTGCAGACTTCAATAGCAACATGAGACAGGTTACTTTGGGATTTGATGGCAACTTAGAAGAGATTTATGGGACTGAGCTTAATTAATAGAGCAGTTTATCCTACTAGGCAGGCATGAAGAGAGTTTAGTAACCACTGTTGCCAAACAGATTTAAATTACCATGTCACCCAGCACACCCATCTTCCCTACTTTTGTCCCAATCCAAATCATCCCCACCAAAAAAAAAGTGATGGTGGTTTCCCTTCTTTCTCCCATTTATTTTCCCCTTGTTCTACCACTAAAAACACAGGTGCTGTAAAATGTAATAGAAGCAGGAATTTAAACTGTTGCTCCTGCTTTCTGAATTTAAGGAACTAAGATAAGCAGCTGTTCTAGTAGTGTTTAGAGAATCAGTCCCACCTCACTGAAAATAATTAATTATTTCCTACTATTACCAACTGGAGCAAAGGCTTTAACTTTTTTAATATCACTCTGTGCCAAATTACTGCAAGCACTCTAAACAAGTTCCCCATTATTTAGCAAAACTGGCACATAAATGAGAACATTTTTTTCTCTCTGTTACAAAACCCACTTGCCAGTTACAGATGACCAGCCTGATGTTATGAGCTCACTATTTTAATTAAAATCTCTGTTTGACCTTGATTAAGCAAACGTGGTGACAGATTGGCCTTGTACACATGTAATTGTGAACAGCCATATTTTAAGCCCCATTTCATCCCAACACTATTTTATATCACAAGCTTTGCCTGGCCTGGTGCTCCCTTTCAGACACTCTCCCACCTCCTCCAGACAGAGAGGAGGAACCAAAGGCTCCCCCAACAACCAGCACATCTGGAACTGGATTGCTGCCCCTGGGATATCCAGCTGAACCCCAGACTTGGGAATGACATGGAAAAATGTGCTTAAGGGTTCTCACTTTAAAAAAAAAATGTAGTTCAGGCTCCAAACAAAAACCAAAGTTTTGACCATGGGTATATTTTATTGAATCTAAAACCAGGCCCAGCTGTGCAGACACAAAGGGAACTGGGGTGTGCCTTTCTCCTGCTGTTAGAACAGAAAACACAGCTCCTGTCTGCAGCTCAGAAGGCTGAACACTGTTAGAGCTTGAAAATTACATGAATTCTAGTAATGCAAAGAGTGTGAGAAAACTAAAACCTAAAAAAATGAACATGAAGGACCAGAATAGAGCAAACAGAATCACAGAGGATCTCAAGCCCCACAAGGATCAAGTCCAAATCCCTGTTCCTTGCAGCACCACATAAAATTCCATCATCCCTAGTGACAGGACAAGGGGTGATTGCTTTAAACTGACAGAAGACAGGGATAGATTGGATATTAGAAATTCCTCCCTGGGAGGCTGGGCTGGCCCCAGCACAGGGTGCCCAGAGAAGCTGTGGCTGCCCCTGAATCCCTGGAAGTGTCCAAGGCCAGGCTGGATGGGACCTTGGGACAGTGGAAGGTGTCCCTGCTCATGGCAGGGAGTAGAATGAGATTAATTTTAAGGGCCCTTCCAACCCAAACCATTCTTGGATTCTACAGTGACAAAGAGCATCACCCAGACACTTCCTCAACTCTTACACTCTTAGTACTGTTAACACACTTCTTTCCAGCGATTGTGAAAATCAAACCTATTTTACTCTTTGGCAAATATTCCTGAGTGTTTGTACTCTACTGCTGGAATATTTCTCCACTTGGTTTTCTAAGCAAGGCAATTCTAAGTAATTTTTACATGATGGAAGAATAACTGTCTCCATGAATCCTTAAGATACCACTGGGAAGACTGAAAAACTAGAGAAAAATCCTCAACAACTGTTACCACTTTCTCCTGTGAAATAATCCATAAAGAAAGACATTACAGAAAATGCAATCTTAAAACAGATGGATACACCTCCTAAACAATGAATTTTATATGATTTTTTTAATTTCTCCCTTTTTCATAACAAAACCATCTGATAAACTGTACAGATAAGCTGACCATAAACTCTCATTGGCATGGGATAGGCTGTGGCTGGTTTTAGACAAAAATAGCCCTTAATGTTACAAAAAAGTACCCTTTATGTCACAAAACTCTGCTGTAGCACCAAGTGCAGCAATGCCATGTTTTGTTTTCTCACATGCACAGGACAGAGCACAGGTTCTAAAAATAAGATCAGAAGAGATGCAGAGGTTGTTATTCTTTGAGGGTTGAAAAGGTGAAGATGGGACCTGCTGCACAAAGACCTTTCCCTGACAAGCAGGATTTGTGTTTTCCAACATGATCCTGATCATGCTGCACTCATGGGAATTATAAAAGCTTTTCTCACCAAGTCCTAAATAAGCAGCTGTGGACTGGGCTTGTCAAACTGATCAGGATGGGACTGAAAGGCAAGGAAACCAAATTTTAAGCTTCTCAAAATTCTTTTAAGCAGAAAACACAGAATAAAAAGTATCTATATAGTTTTCTACACAACTGTCTGAGCAGCATTCATGGGCACATTTGCTAGTTTTATACAATAACTATGAATCCTCAGAGCTCTGAATGTCAATATTTATACTGGCATTGCTTTTTTCCATACTTCCTACCACTGTCATAAATGCAGCAGGTGAATTTCGTTTTCTAGTGATGGTCCAAACTTTCCATTTATTACACAAAAGAAAAAAGGCACCTGGATTTTACAATATTTAGCCTGAGAAAATTTCACTGTGCTGACACTGCACTAATAGATTTTGTCTAAGAGAGACATTCAGATGTGTCTCTCAGAACTGTAACAGGCTGACAGCAGTGGCACGTGTCAAGTGCTATAGGAGTGTGCCAGCTGCAGCAATAAA